GTTGTTAGAACATTGTACTCTATCTGCTACAGTATTATAAGGCATTTTTTAAGTATCATGTTTAAAACATATAAGGCATTATATTTTGGGTTTTTCAAGGAGTAGTTGATCAATTTTTTTTCTTTTCAAAAACATCCTTGATTAAGTGTGTAATTAATAAGTTTTTGAATTGAAAGCACCCTGTTAAATTAAGACATACATAAAAGATCGTGTAATTTTAAATTCAATTGACTAATTTATTAGAATTGTAATGAGGTTAAAAATGCCTTGTAATATTGAACGGAGGGAATATATTTCTTGTGACTCGATAATTAATACAAGGGTTAAAGTGGAAATATAATTTCAAAAAGTACGAAATGTCTTATATGTTGAACTAATATAAGAATTTAGAGTAGAAGGAGGAATGCAAATGAGGTAGAACATTGAGGGGTGGATGTATACAGGGGGAGAGACTGGAATGAAACAGAGAGGTCATGCACGAAGGAGACACAGCCGTATTTCGGGGCCAAATACCCAGCAGGGGACACCAATGGCGTGGGTGGTGGTGAACAAAGTGTTGAGCAGGATCAAGAAGCCTGTCTATTTTTTGACGTTACGACGCTTTCTCAGTACAGGAAAGATGCTCACCCTGAGGCTTACAGTAACCATTATGGCTGCTGATTGCAGTCACTGGTGCCTCCCTGGCCTCCCTGATACCTGGAATCTCCTTCTCCATGCTGCTCTCTTTTCTGATTTTTCCTAACTGGTTTCCTCTTTCCTGATTTTTCTTTTTTTCCTTTGCTTTGGGGGGTTTTTAATTTGCTTACGTAAGTGGGAGCAATAAACCCAGCAAGGGATTGGGTGTTATGCTCCAAAGTTGTAAAGTTTGATTATTTTTTGGCACAAACTTGCCTTCATTATTACCCAAATCATTAACATTCTCTATGGTCATCAATGACTACCTCAAATCGACTCTGCTTTCAAATAAATGCCAGTGGCCCATGTGCTATATATAGCACCAACGCTCCTACTGTAATAAGGAGGATGTGTGTGTTTAAAGTCGGAAAATAAATATAAATGTGAAAGTGAGCGGGTATTATCTGTAATTGTTCCCTAAAAAATGACTATGCTTTCAAAAAACTAGTGGCACACTGTGTAAATTATAGGTTGGTTGGTCTTCCCAAAAATTATGAGTATTATTTGTAATTGTTCCCTTAAGATCTCATTCCTACCCCTTGCGTGAGTGTCTTCTTCACCTCCAATCTTGAGAGCTTCCTCCTCTCGATCTACTTCCTCATTCCTCTACTCGTTTCCTCATTTCTCCTTCCTTGTCGCTCTATCGGTTCCGATGGGTGCTGTGCTGACCATAGTGTGATAGGCGAAAGAAGACGGAATATTACTGGCCGAACACGGAGTGTGAGAGAGAGAGTTTCTTTGCATTTTTTTTATTATTTTTTCCTACCCAATGCAAGTAATGACCCCATCCATTTTTTATTATTTATCATATTAAAAGTCTGATCCTTTTATTTTTTTTGAATTTTATCCCAAATTAGACAGATGATTTGTTTTTTCACATAGATTAATTTTTTCAATATAAATATACGATAAATGAATGCCTGTAATTTATATATTCAAAATTAGTATAAAAAAATATTCCAAATATCTTTAATTTTATTAAACCAATTTTAAAAATAATCTAAATATCTCATCACGTTCTGTTAATCATTGTTTACTAATCAATATTTTTCAATTCAAATTCTAACACAGTCTAAAACTACTAGTTTATATGCAAGACTGAGTTGAAGTGTGAATAAAAGTCAAAGTAGTGCTTAAGACTTGTAAATGATACAATTTTTCACTTTTATATACTCATAATTCAAATGTATTTATTGTTTTACTTTAGTTCTATGACTTTTTCTAGTCTAAGGTGGTCTAAATTGTTGTAAAATCGTCTTTAATGAAATATTGAAAAGAATAGATATGACCAAAGTTTAAAATCAATGCATTAAATTGAAACAGAAATTAAATAAATTACTTAAGATATTGAAAGGGCAATATTTTTGCTTAATTTAATAAATTGATTCTAAATTGCATATGAAATCGATTTTTTAAACCGAGACCGATTAACACTAAACTAAAGTTGATTGGTTCAGGGTCTGTAACTGATAATTTGGGTTATTCCTATAATTATAACAACTTACAGAACTCAAGCCTAAACGAATATCTTTTAAAAACATTTTAAAATCAGATTTAAGTCAAGTTATCAAAATTTTTTTTTGGTCTGATATTCAAAATTATACTATAAACGTGCTGTGAGTTCCACAACTCGAGAATCAAATCCAATTTTTGGATAGGCCACCAATTTTATGTAAACCCAGAAAACAGAGGCCAGATGTCTCTCCCCTCCCCCCTCGTTCAAAGCTTTGAACGAGTCATTCGTTACTCGTTCAAAGCTTCCACGTGTCTTCTTCACGAAGCCTTCGAACATTGCCATATTGATCCTCATCTTCGCCTCTTTGCTCTCTGCGAATTCAAAGCTGAGTCACCCAAATGGTATCACCACCCCCATCCACGTGGCACCAGCGCCACCTCTCCCCCCACATGTCCTCTCTACATGCATACCCATCCACCAGCCACCTCCTTCCCGACCGCCATGCTCACTTCCCCTTTTATATCCCGCTCATTCCGGTTTCTTCTGTTGTCTCATCTCGGACAAGCATATCATCGAACATAAAGCGATCGCTTGTACAGAAGAAGTTGACGACAAAACAATGGCGTCGGAACAGGTGTCTCGCAGGGAGAGAACACGACTACCGAGAGGGAGGTTCACATTGAGAAAGGATCGAGTCCCCAAGATGACCACCCACTTCGAGCATCTCGCTGAACAGGTCAAGGAAGGATCGGATACCCCGCAAGGGAGTATTCAGGAGTTACAGGGTGGGGAGTACAGGAAGGAGCATGGCGGGAGAGCCATTGGGGATATTGGCGGGACTGGGAAAGCCAGGGAGACTCATGAATTGGGGCCTCATTTCGAATCTCTTGCTGATAAGGTGAAGGGAGAAAAGGGGAGAAGAAAGAGTCTTATGCCGCTAAAGTCGGGAATACCGCGCCCTTTTCAAATGTGGGCCAGTTCGAAGGAAAGCTGAAGCGAACAAGGCTCGGCTGGAGGAGCTAGAGGGAGAGATCAATCTGAACCCGAGAGTCGATCCAGAGTAGTGAATACGGGCGGACCAACGCAAAGCGGTGTGGAGAAACAGGCAAGAGAAAACAGAGGGCAAGTTGAAGCGAGAGAAAGGAAGAAGAGGGAACAAAGGGCAGGTTGAAGCAGAAGAGGGAAGAAGCTGGGAAAACGTGGGGAGGCTAGAATCAGAGAAAGAAACTGGGGACGAGAGGCACAGAGAGCGGAGGAGAAGTTAAAGGCAGGGTTGGAGTTGAAACTCAAGGTCCTACTGCTGTTATAACGTGCACATTCGAAGGAGGCGAGAGAAGGAAGAAGATGGAAGGGACGCAAGAGGATTAGAATCAGCGACAGAGAGAGCAGAGCAAGACGAGAAGAAAACAGAGGAAGAGGTGGTGATCAGGAGAAAGAATCACAATCTACCTTGGAAGACATTTCCAAAACAGAGGCCAAGTCCCAGAGAACACAATGGAAGCTATGAGAGCAGCACAGGAGCGGTATGAAAGAGCAAAGCAGGCAGCTAATGAGACAGTCGGTTCTACAACCCAAACAACTCAGGAGAAAGCTGCACAGGCCAAGGACATAGCAATGGAAAAAGCTGCTCAAGCCAAAGACTACACACTAGAGAAAGGCCAACAAGGCTATGCTACTGCAAAAGATACCATCTCAGCGCCACTCAGACGGCTTCAGATTACACCTCTCAAGCAGCAAAGAAGGCTGCTCAAGCTAAGGACGTGACATTAGAGAAAGGCCAACAAGGTTATGCTTCTGCAAAAGACACCATCTCAAGCGCCACTCAGACGGCTGCAGATTACACCTCTCAAGCAGCAGAGAAGGGCGAAATCTGCAGGTAGCACTACTACTCAATATGTTGGAGAGAAAGCTGGTCGGGCTAAGGATGTCACTCTGGAGACTGGCAAGACTGCTGCTGAATATGCTGGAAAACTGGCGGCTGATCTGAAGGACAAGGCGACTGTGGCAGGGTGGACGGCGGCGCATTATTCGACGGAGAAGACTGGGAAGGGACAAAAGCGGCGGCGAATATTGTTCAGGGAACGGCGGGGTATGCTGCTAATAAGGCCAGTGAGCTTGCATCAAGTCATTAGGTGCTGTCAAAGGGTTAGCTGCTAGAGCTGGGGAGACTGCTAAGGATTATACTGCGAGGAAGAAGGAGGAGGCAGAGAAGGATTACGAAACTAAAAAAGCGTCTCAACCACAGGTTTTTATTCTCTTAATCGCAGTTCTAATTCATATATCTATATATATATATATTGGCTTAATTCACACACAACACTCCCAAAGGAAAGCTTCCCCCATTCGAAACTGCCACCCCTCACATTTGGGGGTGGCTAAGGTGGCATTAGGCCAACAGGCCTTCTGCTTCTAATTCATATATTCATTATGCATCATGCTTGAGCACACAGCTCCAGATTCACATGCAATCCTTGTTTCTTAAATGGTGATAAACATTTCGGAATTGAAAATTCTGTTGGAAAATATGTTCTAATTTTTAGGATATTTGAAGAGTTATTTTTGTTTGTGTTTTGTAAAATAGATTCTAATTGATTTTCCTTTCCCATGAAAAGGAGTACAGTTAGTGTCATGTCAAGTCTGAGGGAAAAGAGAAGGAATTTATGAGCATTTGTTTCTAATATTTGCTTTTTAGATTATGAAGAACATGACGTTAAAAGCTTAAGTTCTTTAACTTTTTATTTAGGTTCCATACTTGAAAATAATTTTTGCAACCCTGACTTGAATAGAGTTGAGTTTAATCTCCAGTGAATGTGCTGTGATTTTATGAAAAGTGTACTATGATAACGCGGCTGAAAACTGAGACTTTCTTATGACGGTTTCACTTGAGGAAACTGAGCGGAGGCCATCATCTGGACAAGAACAAGGTCAAAAAGGAGGAGGCATGTTCCAAACATCACTGGAAGCTTTCAGGAAGGTGGTGGGATTGGCGAAACTATAGGCCAATATGCCCAATCCACTAAAGAAGCAGTGGGAGATTTTGCGCAGACATAATGAAGAAGCCATTAGATGCAGCTGCACAAGGAGGAAGCGAGGTGATAGGAGCAGTAGGTGAAACTGTAGGTGAAATCGGACAGACAATGATCAGACCAGCAGAGAGAGCCTCAGAACAAGTTCAGAAAGGTCAAGCAGGAAGTGGCTTTATCGATGCTATTGGAGAAACCATAACAGAAATAGCACAGACAACCAAAACCATGGTTGTGGGAGATGATGAAATAGAATCAGGCTCGAAACAGAACATTGGATCAGAGTTTGATCATGGCAACCAAGGAGGGTTGACTTATGAAGTGCCTAGAAGAGAGACCTTTGAAACCAGGAAAACCTGAGGTTTATGGAGTCGATAGACAGACATGTTCAGTGTGTTGATGTTTTGGCGTTTTGTTTTCGTGAATTCTGTAAAAAATAAAAGTCGTTATGGCGATTCAAGAATGTCCGATTTGTAAAACTCCGCTTGTCGTCCCTAAAAATTGTGTGGGTGCAAAATTTATAACTAATGTTTTTGGTGTCTTGGGTTGTGTGATGTATTTGTAATGTAATACATAGATCATGCTGAAGCAATTGGCATTAGTCATTAGTGGGAAAGGAACCACTTGCCAGTCGGTGCTGCAATTGCATAAGCTAGGATCATGAGTGTTCTAATCATGTCATATTAAGAACCATGTCAGTGTGTATAATATGTTTTATTCTTAATAAACTGAGCTTGTTTTTATTTATCATTATATTCTAACACCATTTCAAGCCAAAGATAAATTAACGGTGATGTAAAAAATCTCACATTTAAGATAAAAAAAAAATCAGGTGGCACATTTTTTCATTGGGCAAATAACTTGAAGATTTATACGATCCGAGTGTAGCATACAAATATGAATATGGGTAGCGTTTTCTCTTTCTCTTATGTTCAATACAATATTAAATAAATCAATGTACTATTCACTT